TGTTCATATCATAGAGTTTGAAGTTATTTTTCATGAAATTCTTACATGCATGTTCATATCTTAGTTGTAGTCCAAGAATTCACCGTGTTTTAGAGTTCAATCTTGCATTTGATCATGTTTTGGAGCATTAGAATTCATGAAAACTCATGCATGTTATGTTCATGTATTGTTCTTCAAGTTTCATTCAAAATTGTGTTCAATTGTCACACCTTTGGGCTTGATTTTATAAAATGATCTTTGAAACATGTTGTATTATGGGTTTCTAAGTGTTTTCCAAAAAATTGGCCCAAAAGGTTGAGTTTTGATATGTTTGATTCTTGGTTTGAGCTTTGGAAGCAAATCTGAAAAACTCAGATTTTGGCTTCCACGCTCAAGCGACCACCTTTGTGTTCAGAGCTCCACTCGAGCGACGGAATGCTGGCTCGAGCGTAGATTGCAAGCTCTCAGGTTTTTTGTGTGTGCAGACGTACGCTCGAGCGACGAGACCTACACTCGAGCGAGGAATTGTGTCTCACGCTTGAGCGAGCATCGAGCAAGCATCGAGCGGAGAATTTCAGCAACCAGTACTTTTTGCATTTTTACAGACTGCTCGAGCGAGGGAGTCTACGCTCGAGCGACCCCTCTGTTTTGGTAAGCTCGCTTGAGCGGAGAAAGCCACGCTCGAGTGAGACCCCTGTTTTTAGCAAATTTTGAAAAGTGTTTTAAAATACATTTTTGCATCCTCATTCTATCATAGGCATTTCTAAGCCATGTTTAAGGCATCTTAATGAGGATAATGTTATAGAACCACACCAAGCCAAATACGAGCTAAGTTATTAATCCCAAGTGTGTAACTTAGTGTGTGTTCATTATGCAACTATGTAGGGTTGGCACCCGAGGACGCTGACTAGCTTATCTATAGCCTAATAATCTGTGAGTAACAATATTGTAAAGATATGTTCAATTTTAATTATTTTCTGAACGATTGACTGTACTACTTTCTGAAATGACATTGTTTACTAAATGAATGTTTGTCCTGTTTGTAAACTATATTCGTGGCATCCATAGCAACTTACTGTTACTGTTACTGTTACTGTTACTATTACTTCTACTGTTACAGAGATCTCTGTCAGTTCCAATGTTGGGAACTACTACTGTTACTGTATTGATGGCCATCAACTGACTGTTCGGTCTATTAAGATCTACTGTATTGTCTTGCTATTGTATGAACCACGTATGACTGCTATGATATCTAATTGACCGATATGGCATGAAATATGAGCCACTGATTGAATAACTGGTCTACTGATGCAAATGACTGTTTTAATTACTAAAAAGACATTCATTCTTGACCCCTTTACGCATTTGTTATTCACTGGGCTTTAGCTCACTGTTTATATATATATGTAGGTAGCCAGGCACCGGACCGAAGCTAGAAGCGTCAAATTAAGCTCATGTTTTTTCAAGCCAACCATCGTGCCTCACTTCGAGGTTCCGAGTATTCACAAGCCAAGGCTGTTTTTGGGGTGTTTCAGGTTCACCATTTTGTCTCTGTTTTGTAATGAATGCTTAAGACTTTGACTGTACAGTTATGGTAAAAGGGATTGAATCCCTAACCGTATGTTATGTGTATCCGATATGTAAATATGTTTATGGTTGAATGCGGACTAGTTCATAAAAGTCATTTTCCATTCAGATTTTCACAGCTCATTGGACATCTTTTATTTACTGTTTGGTTTCCGCCAGCCCCTTACTCTGTACTATTGTTATTACTGTTAAGTAGGCCTTTGGTAATCACAGATTACTGGCTGGTTACGATACTAAACCCTTAGGGGCGGGTTTGGGTCGTGACAGAAAAACAATACCATGGCTACTTGTGCACAAGATATGGACCTTTGGAGTCGTTGGTACTGACTATGCATATGGGTCCCAAGACCAAGATGATATGATAGCTAATGAATGTACCACATATAACTACTTATTATCACTGGTTACATATACAAATCTAAATCTGTTTCTGATATGAACTCTGATTTTGAAACTATTTGGACATCATTCATAAATCCTTTACTCTGTTGTTATTCACTAGGCTCCAGCTCACCATAATATTTATGTATGTAGGTAATCAAGTGCGTGACTAGGCTTAAAGTTGATAGCTTGGAGTTTTATTTTGTTAGCCAGCCATAGCGCTTCTCGAGGAGTTTCCCATTTGCAATGATCAAGTTTTGTGAACCATGTTAAAGTTCTCTTTGTATTTCTTTTGTTTAGTTTGATCAGGTCCTTTGTTGTTTGTGTGTATGGATGGTGACGTGTGTTTGACATCTTACTTACATAAATATAAGTTTGAAATTTCAGTCCCATGTATGTCTACACAACTCTATGGACGTTATATGTTTGTATTTACTTCCGCTAGCCCATGTATATTATTTATTTGTTCAGAGGCCTTTGATAATCCCAGGACTACTGGCCGGTTACGATGCTAAACCTAGAGGGACGGGTTTGGGTTGTGACTATAACCTACAAATTACAACATATATATATATATATATACATATAAAATCTTTGGTTCACGAATATATAAATTTTAATAAAGCTCTCACTGTATCTATGGATACCACAACTGTTACATTCTCACACCCCTCCATGGACATACTCACTGAAATTCCATGGATATGTCACAAAGCTTCAAAACCTCTGGTCCAATCTTGGAGATGACAGTGGCAGATTGCTCAGATCTAGAGAGAGAAAATAGTGAGAGATCGGTGTGGATCGCTTTGATGTAGATCAGTGTGGCTCCAATTTGGAGACGATGACGACAGATCGATGGCCTTCTTTTTAAAGCTTGCAGACAGCGAACCTCGCCGATGACGAACTCGAAATTGCACTATTTCTAATCTCTTTCTCTAGTCGTTTACGACATCGGAATTGGTAGAGGAAGCTGCTTCAAGTCCATCAGAAGAGAGCAATAAATGACCGATAACAAAGTAAAGAGAGAGACATTTACGGTTTGGAGAAAGAAAGAGAGAGAAAGAGAGGGAGTGAGTGATTATTTGGAAATGACCGTGGGTTTGGAAAGAGAGAAAGAGAGATATCACGGTGGCGTTTACAGTTGGTGGCAGTGATTGGGACAACGGCGGATGAGTAATGACTCTGATCTTTGGCGAGACGATCCGAGACGACTTTGGCGATTACAAGAGAACGAGTTTAAAGAGAGACAGAGGATTAAGGTTTAGAGAGAGAGAACTCGTGTAAGTTTGTCCTTTTAGATAAAGTATTTAAGCGCTTGGATCTTTAACTACATAAAATTGTGATTTGAATTTATGGATCAAGTATCTTAATTTAAATTAAAAACAAATTAAATTTTAAATTGTTAAAATTAAAAGGGTGAAACACTAATAAATCCCAAAATATGATCTTGTAAACTATTTAATCCTTCCATTTTTTTTTTTATAAATCTAAAGGTCCCATTAAAGTGAAAATTATACAAAAGTATAGTTACTTACATGTTTGGGTTTAATTGTTTAGAGATAAAAGTGAATTTCTCTAAATGTAAAATTATACATTTGAGCAATCCACACTAAAGAGGATTTGGATTTTCTAGCCTAGAACAAATCCCACATTACATACAAAAATGTGACATTCCAATAACGTAACACTCTAATGTAATACTCTAAAAAACTTCTTGGTGTACTTTTTCCAAACGTAATAATGTAACACTTCAAAAAAACTCATTAGTGTATTTTTTTCAAATGTAGCACTCTAATGTAACACATAAAAAAAACTCATTAACGTACTTTTCCTGAACATAACACTCTAATCAATGTAATCCCAAACGTAACACTTCAATGTAATACACACAAAAATACTAAAAAATTTCTTAATGTAATTTTTCCAAACGTAACACTCATAATTTGAAATTATACATTTGTTTAAAACTTACTAAGGCCTAGTTTGGCAACAGGCCGGTTTACCCAAAAAGTCAAAAAGTTACTAAAAAATTCAAAAAGTCAACAACCCATACCAAAAAGTCAAAAATTCTATTTTCTCTCTACTTTTTGCACATTTTTTCGTAAAAAGCTAAAAAGTCATCCCAAATATATTAGTTTTTTTTAGCTCATATTTTAGCCAAATAGCCAAAAAGTTACTAAATTAGTCTGTTCCCAAACGAGGCCTAAGGAATTTTTGTACTCCTTTTGAAATGGTTTGAAAAATCTCACATTCTTTTGGAATGATTTGAAGAATCTCATATCTTTTTTTTTTTTGGAGTGTTACATTTGGAAAAAGTACACTAATGATTTTTTTTTTTTTTTTGATACATTGGAGTGTTACACTAATGATTTTTTTTTAGTCTTATATTGGAGTGTTACATTTGCAAAAAGTACACTAATTTTTTTTTAAGTGTTACATGAGAGTGTTACGTTTGAGTGTTACGGTTTGAAATTAAATATTTGTCCAAAGTTTACTAAAAGATTTTCGTATTCCTTTCGAAATATTTAAAAAATCTCACATCCTTTTAGAATATTTGAGAGATCCTATATTTCAAGTCATTTTTATACTCTTTTTGAAATATTTTCCAAAAGAAAAAAAAGATTCTTATATAAAAATTCATACAAAATTTGATTTTTATAAATTGTGTACATTACATTTCTAGTACAAAAAAAGAAAAAGAAAAGGAAACATAATAAAAAATAAAGATATAATCGTAAATCTAAGTACATTACATTTCTAGTACAAAAAAAGAAAAAGAAAAGGAAACATAATAAAAAATAAAGATATAATCGTAAATCTAATTTTTAAATAATATTTTAAATATACCTTTCTAAAACCAATGAGACTAATTAGTTTATAAAAAAATTCTTAAAATTAAATAAATTATCATTCTTTAAAATGAAATTTATAAATAATTTTTTCGATAAAAAAAAATAAATTTTTTAAATTAAAATTTATTTTAATATAAAGATCAAATATTCTCTCTCTATATATTTTGGAAATTCCTTCTTTCCCCAATAATTATGCACACATTTTATGTGCCAGTATAACAGTACAGGCCACGCTAAAAAGTTTTAACACCAACCAAACCACCATTGAGTTTGGAGAGCAATCAAATTTGACATACATCTCTCTGCCGAACATGGCCGCTACTCTAAACAGCATTACTGCCCAAATCCTCTCTCCTCCACCCACCAAACCCATCACAGAACCAAAGAAACCCAATTCACCTCTCATCACTTTCTCTTCCCAACTCTTCACCAATTCAAACCCATCACTGAATTCAACTCTTTCCACCAAAAAGAGACCCAATTGGGTTGTTTGCTCCGTCACAGAGGACAGGGACGTTGTTACTGTGCAGGACAGCACTTCAAATGATCAACAAGAAGAACCCAATGCTCCAATTGAGACAGAATCTGGGGAAGAAAATCGTGTGCCTTCTGATGGCTCTGAAGATTATGATAAGTTCGTGGGTAGAGCAATTAATGCTTCTATTGTTCTGGGTTTTGGTACTCTTGCAATTACCTACTTGCTCACCATTGATCATGAATACTGGCATGTGAGTTGACCTCGTATTGGATTAGATTTTCTGTGTGTTGATTTTGATGGGTTCCTTTATATTTTGATTGCTCAATTTGTGCACTTTCTTTATTGATATCACAGTTTCTTATTTTCTTTACATGTTTGTTTCCTAATTGTGAATTTATAAGTAGAAAAAAACAAACAAAATTAGTAGACCTAACTCGAGTTTCCCCCACTTTCTCCATTTATTTTGTTCAGGGATGGACACTTTATGAGGTACTGAGGTATGCACCTGAACACAATTGGATTGCCTATGAAGAAGCTCTTAAAACAAATCCGGTACTAGCGAAAATGGTGATTAGTGGGGTTGTCTACTCTGTTGGAGATTGGATTGCACAAGTATGTGTCTCCTAAATATCATTCTCAACTCGATAGTTTATTATAATTCTCAAGTCATTGTTGTCTATTTTTTTTAGTCATGTGCTAATGAATTTGCAGTGTTACGAAGGAAAACCGCTTTTTGAATTTGACCGGATACGCATGTTTAGATCAGGCATTGTTGGGTTCTTGCTCCATGGATCCCTTTCTCATTATTACTACCAATTCTGTGAGGTGATAATTGTGGTTCACATTTTGTTTGATCCGACTAATTTCTTGAATAATTCTGTATTGTCTGAAATCGTTTACTTTTGCTTTCAGGCTCTTTTCCCTTTCGATGATTGGTGGGTGGTCCCTGCAAAAGTTGCCTTTGACCAAACTGCGTGGTCGGCAGTATGGAACAGCATATATTTTGTGGTTTTAGGGTTCTTGCGTTTGGAATCCCCAGCCAATATTTCTAAAGAACTGAAGGCAACATTTTGGCCTATGTTGACTGTAAGAAACTCTTTTGGTTTTCCATCTGTGTAATTTTAAGTCTTTCCTAATCACTCTCGATAATAAGCATGTTTAACATGTTCATGATCTAGTATTAGTTATGTCAGGAGCTCTCTCCCTAAAAACAACTAATTGTCACGGTTGGGTTTGCTGATCTTAAACTCAGTTTCAATCTAAGATCAAGTTGTTTTTAGTTGGGTTTGAGAACAAGCTATTTTAGTAACTTTTGGTTTTTTACGAAAAAATGTGCAGAAAAGTAGAGAGTGATGTGACAATTTATCGTGACTTTTTGATTTTTTGACTAAAATATGTAGTTGCCAACTCTTGCTTCTCTGCCTACGCGACTGCTCTCTCCATAGTCCCTAACCAATGTAACCCAAGGAGAATTGAATAATTACACATAAAGAACTTTATGTTTCTAATCAGAAATTTCAGCTAGAGTGAGACACATGAAAAATTTCCCTAATTTGAATTCTAGTTATTGAATTAGACAAACTGTTGTGATACAAGAGGTAGATCAAAATAAATTAAGAAACTTGGTGGAGTTTGTCAAATTAGCAATTAAGAAACTCTGTGGAATATGACTTGTTGGGTAATATAGTTTTTATTTCATGCCTGGATATGGGATGGATTTTTGGTATATGCTTGAGTACTTGGCTTTGTCTCCAAATTCAGTTCATAATTCATTATCAGTATAACCTTCGGAAGGCATATTCCTTCTGAATATATATTGGATAAAATAATGTGGGGTCTGAATAATCTGATATATCTAACAGCAGTTCCATGATTTTATTTCTTTATGTTTGCAATGTATCATATAACAATGAAGCCCAAGATCAATTACAATTACATTGAAGTGAAGATTAACATATCATTATTGGGAAGAAATTTCCACAAGGGGAATAAGACTCACACACTAGTGGGTGATTCAAACCCCTGGCCTCTTATATGGTGTAGAGATTTTAGCCAACGAGCTAGCCCGTTTGTTGATTTTAGTTCTTAATTAAAACTCCGGATTACATTAGTTTAAATTCAGTGAAGGTTTAGTAAATCTCTATGTAGTAATCTCATTTGTGATTGTGAAACTTGTTTTATTGTGATTTGCTTGACAGGCAGGGTGGAAGCTTTGGCCTTTTGCTCATTTGATTACCTATGGTGTGATTCCTGTAGAGCAAAGGCTTCTTTGGGTGGATTGTGTGGAACTCATATGGGTTACCATATTATCAACGTGAGTATTCTATGCAACCAACCTGTTTTGTGTGATCGTTAGGTTTAAAAGGGTTTAGATGGTTCAGTACAGATGTTATATCTCTTAACACTGAAAATTTCATCTGTAGTTATTCAAATGAGAAATCAGAAGCTCGAATATCAGAGGCATCAACAGAAGCAAATGCCAGTTCATCAAGCGATTCTCACGAGGCATGATGAAATTGCTGTGAGGCCTCAAAGGATTGGGATATCGTAGGATAGCCCTAGGCTCTCTGCTGATCTTAATTTTTCATAGTTTATGCGCTGCATCATGAAACACTAAGGTACTTTTCTTATGGTTACATTTTGGCAGGAGTGATTAAGTAATTGACTTGAAAGCACCCCTAAGTGAAGTACTTTTCAGTTTTACGATTCACTAGTAGTTGGAAGAGTGATTAACCAAATCATCATTTCCATTATTGGAAGATGGAGATATGGTGATAGGAAGAACATGCTCATAATTGGTGATCTTCCTCCACAGGGATTTTATGTGTAGGTTATGAAACTATAAATCACTTTGAATCATAATACCTTTGTATTTATTTTTATATTTATGTACTTTTCTTTTGGGGTTGGGGAGAAGAGCAAATGTGTTGTAGAACAGGCATGTTAGAAATATGGTAGGGTTTCTTTATTGTTTCCTCGAATTTATTGTATTTTTTATTTTAAATTACTCCAACTTTTCGTTATATGTTCTTTATCTGACTACCATGCAACATGGATATAGTGTGTTAAAAGATGATATAAGTACATCGTGCTATTTCATCCCTTGGCCAATCATCATGTGAAATATTAAATCGAACAACATCTTTTGTAATCGTTTTCTAGTATTTGTTCTTGAACATATAGATGGTGGATTCTCTTTTCTTGTGTATTTTGCATGCCATTATTCAAGTAGCAGTGTTGATCAGAATGACCAAAAGGGTTTGGTTGGGCTTAACCTACGTGTGCAGGCTCAACTCAATAACTCATATTCGATTTGAAAATGTTAAGACTAGTCACTTAAGTAGTATAATTTTAATTTTAAATTTGATTATAATTTGAGTTATACTTTGCCTGCTCGAATTAAATTCAAATATATATTTTTTTTAAATGGAAAATTCAGACAAAGATTAGGCAGAAGTTTTCACAACGCAAAATTTTCAAATTTAATTGCTAATATATATAAAATTATATATAACAAACCTAAAATATTATAAATTGTAGATTATTTTCTTATCATCAAATTAAATCATATTGTATTTTTTTTTTTTTAAAAAAGAGTGAAACCTTGAATTGAATCCTCTATTGGGAAATCACATGCTGCTCATGTGGTTAAGGGTCAGTTTGGCATACAACTAAAAGAATTATATTTTTTAAAAAAAATTGTTTTTGTCTCTAGTATTTTAAAAAAAATTATTTATATATCAATTTTTTTAAACAATATTTTGAGGTCTATTTTGCTTAGACAAATCTAAAAAATTAAAAAAATAAACTAAAGACAACAAAAAGCTAAAAAAAAAACTAAAAAAATATTTTGTGCTTTTTTTTTGGTCACATCTGAACTTTTTTTTTTCAAAATTTTTATTTATTTATTTTTGAACTCAAAAATTTATATTATTTTTTTAATATCAAAAACATTTTTGAAAAAAACCCCAAAAAAATCACTAAAAAAAAAACACCCGACAAAAGCGCGCGGGCTACAATTTGTGCATAAAAACGGCCACCCTGTCTTTTGGACTATTTGTAGAGAGAGAGAGAGAGAGAGAGAGAGGTCTCGTATCGTCTCCTCCTCCTCTAAACCCTAGATCGTGATCTGCAATTCAATCAATCAATCAATCAATCTCGATTGACATATTAATGGCGAAGCTTGAACCTCTGGAGGAACCGAGTCAGAAGCAGAAGCAGAAGACGAAGACGAAGAGGAATCATGGATCTACCAAGTTCTTCGTATTCGTAGACTACCTCTTCCTACTCATATTTATCTGTTTCCTCTGCTTCATACTCTTCAAAATGATCGGCATTTGATTATTTCCTTGAGGTGATTGTCCACCCCTTCTTCTTCTTCTTCTTCTTCTTCTTCTTCTTCTTCTTCTTCTTCTACTGTGCTAAATTCTAATTTTGAATATTGTAATACCCATTTGCATATTGGGGCTATTCATTAACTAATTTGGATGCCATTTAATGTAATGCGTTTATCTAAATGGGATTATGTGTATGTGAACTCTGTGAGATCTTTGCTATGCAAAACCTCAATTCAATTTTGTCAAATTTTAAAATTTTAATTATTAAGCTATTAAAAATTTCACATGTCATTATCTTTTGCAATAACTGGTCTAGATATAAATTTATGGGTAAATTACAGCAAATCTCCTCAACTAGTCTTTTTAGACTTTGCCACCTTCATGTTTAAAACCCACGGGTCAATCCCTCCAAGTATCATTTTGTGATACTAAACCCCTTTCATTACTAAGTTGTTAAGTTTTCGGACAGAAAGATGTCATGTATGTGGCACATGATACGAAATACCCCTAATTTCACTCTTGCATGTTAACTTATAACCAAACATAACCTTTTAGTTACATATGTGTGTGTATCTCCTTCTAGTATATTATGTGCGGCTCTCCTTCTGGGTGGACGGTGTGTCAGGTTAGATCTTAATCAAAATAGCATCCAATTAGTATACATTAATGTGTGTTTGGCAAGGAAAATATTGAGGACACACCTAACCTTTGGCATAATGTACAAAGTGGTGGTCCCAAGATTTGAACCCATGACCTCAAGATTATTAGACTAAATCTTAACCATTGAACCAATGGTCACCCCTGAGTTAGGTCTTAACTATTGATCTTAATCATTTAAATAGTTATTAAAATATTATTTAATACAGCCAACCGACTTCTCATAAGTCTATATAATTATTTGAATATTATTCAAATGTATCTTAGGTTCATCAAGCTTCACAAATTGGTTGGAATTCATGTAAAAGATCAATCTATTTTCTCTATCCAAATTTCAATGCTTTTAGCCATATTATTATTATTTTTTAATATGGTTTCATGTCAAGTCAATCAAGTGAACTATATTATTTGTTTATTACAAAAGTTTTTCAACTTGTGATTTAGAAATGGTTTTTCGACATGAGATTGGATTGAATTTTATGAAGGACATTACATTGTGATTTACTAATGTTTTTTCGACATGAGACTGGATTGAATTTTATGAACGACATTACGACATGAGACTGGATTGAATTTTATGAACGACATTACGACATGAGACTGGATTGAATTTTATGAACGACATTACGTGGTTAGACTGGGGGGGGGGGGGTAACAAATGCACAAAGTGTACTTTTCAAAATTTTGAGGGGTGGCAGATTGAGTTTTGGAGGGGCCATTACACAGGGTTCAACATTATTTGAAAGGTAACCCTTGTACAAAAGTGGGAAACCCCCATAATCTCTCCCTTCCCTCTGCCTCTGTCTGTGTAGTTGAGAAAAATATTGAAGCATTGGGCTGAGATGGGCCAAGAAGCCCAAAACCATGCGTACAGGACACGTTTTTGTACCTTTGATTATGTTGGATCACTTCCATTAATTGTTGGTTCTTGTAAAAAATCTTGGAATGGTTTCTGGATTTTGGTATATTGTCCATGTCTTTGAAATGTCGGGAGGTTAGAAAATTTAATTACATTTTTTCATGGATATGGACCGTCGATATTGGAACTTCTTGCAATAAGGGAACTTGAGTGGTTGTAAATTAAGAATTTTAAGTCATAGGGAACATTAGATTCTTGCCAAAGGGAAATGGCATGCACATGAATCTTTTTCCTTCTTTTATGCATGTTTGAGTTCAATTGGAAATAAGATGAGGGAAATTCGTTTAAGGTTGTTTGTCGTTGTATGGAATAGACCAATTAATGGATGGAGAAGTTGTTAGATTCATGTTGAAGATGCCAAAAAAGGACAATAAAAGGCCAAAAAGAGCATCCTTTGAGGCCATAAGAAAATACATGATTGTTGTGCATTTAATTGGAAAATATGACTATACAACTCAGAAGAGGGATCCATGTAGCTGATATTAAATAGTCGGACAATGTTTTGTTGGGTGGAGTTGTGCATATCTAAGAGCTTCATTAAATGTTTATGGAATGGTTTCTTTTGTGAGAATATTAGGTTAGGTTTATATATATAGTAGTGTATATTGCCTATATATATGGCAGTGTTTCTTTTTTCTATATGGCAGTGTTTTCTTTTCTTTTTTAGTCTTAGGGTTAGGATTACTATATAATCATATGTATTCTTTGTACTATGACACAATTGAATATGCAGTTTCATTCAGAAAACTTACATGGTATCAGAGTTGTGTTCAGAATCCTAATCTTTGATTTTTGGTTCGAAGTTTCTTTTTCTGGTTGATCGATTGAAGCTCTAATCTCAGATTCCTGGTTCATCAATCAAAGCTTTCTGCCAGGTCGTGACATCAAGCTGTTCTCTCGCTCGACTTCTTTCGTTCTTTGGTTCATTCCATCTAAAGGTGTCACTTAGTCGTTCGACCCTCTAGCATCATCTGGTTCGTTGGAAGTCGAGTCGACCCATCTTCTTCTGTTCATCATGATCCATCGAGTAGTTTGACGCATCTTGCTTTTTTGAATCTCGGTTTGATCGCTTGCCCATCTGGGTGAGTTGGCTGGTTCAGTTAGGTCGAGAGACCGAAATTCTGTGGCCCTCTTCTCACAATTGCTCTGTTTGTCTCTCTCTTTCTGTTCGTGATTCTCTGAGGATTAAAAAAAAAAAAAAACTTATTTATAGTTTGGCCCATATGTTATTTAATTATTATACTTCAACTTGTTAGTCAATTGGTTTATTACAATGTCAGATGATAAGATTGTTAGGCTCGAAAATAGGTCATTGGTTTCAGATAAGTGTGCCTTTTGTCATTAGAAGGGTCATTAGAAGTATCACTGTCCCAAGAAGAGATGTCTGTCTGCCTCGTTTTCTCAGCAGTCTCAGACCCAGTTTTGCCCTTCTTCTCTGAGTAATTTTCAAGCTCCCGCTGCTTATAGTGCATCCACTCTTGTTCTTGATCCTTATTTGGTTTCCTTGAGTGTTTCGATTGCTCATTTTCGACATATATTGTCTACCTTCCAACCCTTCCTATCTGCCTCAGTTGTTTCTTCTCTTCATTCAGGTTTGCTTAGGTCTTCTTTAGGTATCTCTTAATCTGTCTTTGATTTTTTTACTCTAGTGCCTCTCATTATACGGCTCCCCATCTTTCCTTACTCCAAAATTGTACTCTTCCTCCATTTCCTATTACTGTCAATGCTGCTAATGGGTCTGGTATGTCTGTTATATCTATTGGGTCTGTCTTACCGTCTGCTATGTCTATTGTCTCTATTCCATCTGTCTTATATGCTCCTCAGTTATCTGTCAGTTTATTACCTGTCAGTCAGCTTGATGCCTTCAGTTTTGATGTTATTTTTTCTTTTTCTATTTGTTCTGTGCAGGATTGGATGTATAAGCAGCAGATTGGGACTAGCTGTAGAATTGGAGACCTCTATGTGGTGGAGAGCTCGCATCTACCAATGATTACTTCTCCGACTGCCTTTTCCTCTTTTCAATTAGATTTTTTGTCAAGTCTTTTCTATTTGTGGTATTCTAGATTAGGGCATTTGTCCGCTGACCGCTTACGGTGTTTAGCTCAGTCCGATATATTGGGTAAAGTTTCTCTTAGTCAACTTAACGAGAGTCAAGGCTGTAAACTTGCCAAAATGACAGTCTTACTGATGTCTGGGGTCCTTCTCCTGTTCTCACTGAAGAGTGTTCTACATACTATGTGTCATTTGTTGATGACTGCACTCGTTATACTTGGATTTATCTCATGACTCATAAGTATGACTTTTACCAGATATACCGTACTTTTCAGTCTATGGTCACTACACAATTTGGATCTACTATTAAATTATTACGGTTTGACTTGGGTGGGAATATTTTAAAATTAAGTTTTGTGAGTATTTGGCCAATTTAGGTACCATTCACCAGACTTTCTGTACTGATACAACTGCCCAAAATGGTCGCGCTAAACGTAAACATCGTCATCTCCTTGAGATAGTTAGGTCTCTCCTTCTCTCTGTTTCTGTTTCGGCTTCGTTTTGGGGTGAGGTAATTCTTATTTCTACTTTTCTTTTCCATCGTATGCCTACTTTCCTTTTCTCTGGTTGGTCTCCTTATGAGGCTCTATTTTCTCAATTTTCCAATTACTCCATCATTTGTGTGTTTGGGTCTACTTGTTTTATCTTTTTACCCTGTAAAGATAAGACCAAACTATTATGACCCTGTTTTTCGTCGCCTATATGTCTCCCACCATGTTGCCTTTCTTGAACGTCTACCTTACTTTCAACTTCCTCCTCTCACAGTCCTAGTTTCCAAAGAGGATTTGGTTCATATTGATTCATTTCCTTCTAAGGTCCCTCTTGATAAGTACATTTTACTTGTTCCCCATGAGCTTGTTCTGTCTTCTCTTTGTCCCATCCCACCTGATGAGTCCCTTTCCCCTGACCCCCATGAGTCTATTTCCTCTTCTCTTCCTCGTCTTTCCCCACCTGCACCTACTCTTTCTCCTCCTCCTCCTCCTACTCCTTATCCTCTTCCGTTGTTAGTCTATGCTCATCGCACGACTCTTTTTCCACCACATTGTCTCTACCCTTGCTGTTGATCCCCTTACTTCTAGCGACTCTTATCTTGCTAACTGTAAGTATCCTCTTCGTATCCGTAAATAAATAATCAAATTTGATTTTGCTAAAGCATGTTTTTATCCTTCATACTGCACTTTTTTGTCTGCTATTCACTCTTTTTCAGAATACCAGTCTTACAAGGATGCTTTTCAGGGTTCTAATTGGGTACGAGCTATGGAGGATGAACTGTCTGTTTTGCAGAAGACTACTACTTGGGAGTTAGTTCCGTTGCCTACCGGCAAAAATCTTGTTGGTTGCAAATGGGTCTATAAAGTCGAGACTCACTCTAATGGTTCTCTTGAGCGCTACAAAGCTCGCTTGGTTGCCAAAGGTTTCTCTCAGGAGTATGGTATTGATTATGAGGAGACCTTTGTCCCTGTTGCCAAGATGACTACAGTTCATATTTTGATTTTTGTTGCTATTAGATAGATGTTAAGAATGTCTTTCTTAATGGCCATCTTATTGAGGCGGTTTACATGCGTTTTCTCCCTGGCCTTCACTATTCTTTTGGATAGGTTTGTCATCTTTGGTGTGCTCTGTATGGTCTGAAGCAATCTCCTCATATTTGGTATGATCGCTTTCAGACTGCTGTTACTGAGTTTGGGTTTCATCCTTTTGCCCAGGACTCTGCTTTGTTTCTTCTCCACACCTCTATTGGTTTTGTTGCCTTATTACTGTATGCGGATGATATGATTATTACTGGCTTTGATTCTTCTGCTATCTCTAAGGTCAAGCAGCATCTCTTCTGCACCTTCGAAATGAAGAATTTAGGCCCATTGCGGTATTTTATTAGTCTTCAGGTGGCTTTTTCTCCCAATGATTACTTTCTATCTCAGGCCAAGTATGCTAATGAAGTTATTCACCGTGCCGGTCTTATTGACACTAAGATTGCTGATACCTCCATTGAGCTTAATGTGAAACTTAACACTACTTATGGTGTTCCTCTGCCTGATCTTACTTTATATCAAGAGTTCATGCGTTGTTTTGTCTATCTGATAGTTAGTCAGTTCGTTTCTGCTCCTTATTCTACACATTGGACTGCTTTGGTTCGAATTCTTCACTATTTTCGCGGTACTATTTTCCAAGGATTGCTGTTGTCATTTACTTCTTCCTTGGCTTTAGTAGCCTAAGCTGATGCTGATTGGGCTAGTAATGTTACAGATCGTAAGTCCACTTCTGATTTTTGTATGTTTTTTTGGTGATTCCTTGATTTCTTGGAAAAGCAAGAAACAAACTGTTGTTTCCCATTCTACTGCCGAAGCTGAGTACCATGCTATGGCTCATGCTACTGCTGAAGTTGTCTGGCTTCATTGTCTTCTCTCTAACTTGGCCGTCCCTCAGCCTTTTCTGACCTCCCTCTATTGTGATAATTGTAGTGCTATTCAGATTGTCCATAACATTGTCTTCCATGAGTGAACAAAGCACGTTTAGATTGATTGTCACTTTGTTCGTAAGCATTTGCAATCTGGCTTTATGTTGCTTCCTTTCGTCTCTTTGGCTCTGCAACTTGCTGACTTCTTTACGAAGACTCACACCATTGCTCGGTTTCAGTTTTTTCTTGGCAAACTCTCAGTGTTTTATGCTAAAACACCTTGAGTTTGAGCGTGGATGTGAGAATATTAGAGTAGGTTTATATATATGGTAGTGTATATTGTCTATATATATGGCATTGTTTCCTTTTCCTATATGAGAGTGTTTCCTTTCCTTAATTTTAGGGCTAGGATTACTATATAATCAGATGTATTCTTTGTATTATGACACAATTGAATATACAGTTTCATTCATAAAACTTACATCTTGTACAAACAAGAAGCCAATGACTTTGCGAATAGCTTCGCAGCTGTAATGAGTTTGAGATTCTCTCTATATAAAGGATAGACTGTTAAATTTTTGTAATTGGCAATCACATTTAACAAAACTCCTTTTAATAGTAATTTTATTCACTATTTTGTTTCGGTGAGGTTATGAGAGTGTTTAGTTAGTGAGTCTATAAGAGTGTTTAGATGCGAATCTAACCTGAATTATGTTTTTGTTTGCCACTTCGCCGACTATGTACTGGGATCGAGCTTGCGGAGGTCCAGGGGGCAGCACCCTATGGTGTGTTCAGGGCAACGCCCACGTAGGGTCGAGGGGCATCGCCACCGAAGCCAAAGTTGTTTGACCGCTCAAGCGGTCATTTGTGCGCTCGAGAGGTGAATAGGAGCACTCAGTATCTCTGCTTGCAAACTGAACTTTTGGGAAACAAGTTTTATTGCTCTAGCGGTGAAAGTTGCGTTCGAGTGGTCGGCCTACATGTTTTGCATCGCTTTTACTAACACCGCTTGAGATGGTGAAGTGTGCGCTCGAGCGATATTCGCGATTCAGTTTACTATAAAGTACGCAGTTTGCTGTTTTTAGGGTTTAAATCGTCTAGAATCTTAGAGAGAAAGAAAAGACAAAGTGTTTTCTATCGGAGGCTGTTTTGTATAAGTTTACTTGGTGTATAAAAGGTGATTGATTGATCAACGAACTACAGATTGTCAAACATCAAGGGTTGTTCAACATCAAGGGTTGTTCTTATTATTTTGTTCACAAAAGAGGTGTTTTTCCGTGGATTCCGGAAAACTTGGGCTTGAAGCTTTGGTGGATTTCGGAGTGGCTCATTGTCGTGGATTCAATATCAGCATTGTGGATTCAACGTTGGGTAAGACAATTCCGAGATAAAGATGGTGGTGGAAGAGGCACATCTGGGTCGGTTCAATTTGGACATGGATTAGTTAGGTAATTAAGGGTATACTTGTGTAATTCTTTTTTATTTTCTTAGTAAATTGTTTTGTGGTTTTTGCCTGTGGTATTTTATCACAATTGGAGGTGCTCCACTTGTGATTTTTTTCACGTTAAATCATTGTGTCGATTTGTTTTTGATTGTTTGATTGTGATTATTTTTCATTGTTTGAAATTGAAACATAATTGCAAATAAATATCTTGGAGATTTTAGATCTTTCATAGACTTTTCGCATTGACATTGTCATCTATTCTGTTGTTAACATGGGAAATTGACCTACTTGTTCGTTGTCATCTTCCCAGAATTCTTGGTGGCATGACAGTTCCCAACTATCTGATTTCACTAAAGTTGGTGAATCCTCATCAACAAGAAACCGTTCTCCTTTTTGGATCTCGGGCTTAATCAAAGACAATAACTTGTATGTTAAAGACTTGTTGGGGTGACTTGTTATCAGTTATCTTCCAAGAAAATGCTAGGAAATTTATTTTTTAGCATATTGTTACCTAGAAAAAGCTAAATATTATCTTTCATATTGGTAAATTTATAAAACTGTATCTAAAGTGGGCTCCAAAGCCCCAGTTTCTTTCACTTTTGTCATCACAATTACCCTATGAGTATTGCATGGTAAGAGATAAATGGGTGCATATGCTTAATCTGGAATGTGACTTTCTGAAAAGCAGAGGAGCTTGAAATTTCTTTTCAACAATATACTCAGCTGCCATGATGCATAATTGGGAGTAATGGAAATTGTGTATTCATTTTGTGCTCGTCTTTTGCTGAATAATAGAGTTTAGAAATGGTGTCGGTGAAACTTTAAAACTATGATTTTGCAAATGAACGTAAGGTTAGCTTTTTATTTACTCTCGCGTACTCTTCATGTACTGTGGTTGCAGATAACGGTTCATAGCGCAAGTGGTATTCGGTTCATAGCGCAAGTGGTATTCAGGTGTCTTACCTGACTAGTTGGTTCTAGGCTCATCTCCCGTTACCTCCTTCCTTCCCTAATAAAATAAAACAAATGAAGTTGTTAAAGATTTGAAATTAAAAAAAGAACAAAATTAGTGAACGTAACCTCTCTAATATATTTTTTTTACTTTCTTTGTATTGGGAAAGATAGATATCTATGAATACTGAACCCTAATTCTTCTGTGTAGGTTCTGGGTTCAACTCAGAATTTCTAATCAATTTTGGAGTTGCTCACTCCAATTTATATTTTACATTCGCGGTTAATGATCATTAAAGCTAATAATGACTTTTTTTTTGCATTCATAAGCTTCTATGGTTGCCATATTTTGTCATTGAAAGTTTTTTTTGGGCCCAATGTCATCTATGTTTGATGGGCTTTGATCTGTTAATGAACTACATCTTGACCTGGCCTTATTATTGCCTCTCACCATTTATTTTGGCATTCTAAAACAAGAAAGGGACATAGTCCATGCTAAAAACCTAAAACTATTATATTTAAATAAGTTCTGCAAAGAATCTCACACACACACACACACTCAGATCATTCTAGTTCCAACTGCTCTTTTAGTTGCCCTTGACGGGAGAATGGTTTATTTATTTATTTATTTTCAGCACGATAATTCTTACCGATGTTATGAAAGTTCTAATTTATGTTTATACTAGTTATATCTAATGATGGTTGGAGATGATATTCATTGTATGAGATACAATAGACTCAATTGAATGGTAGGGTACGGGATCTTCTGTTTGGATCTTCCCTGCCCCCGTCCCAAGTACCCTCTTTACCAGTCACCACACAATCAGGCCAAATTCATCTGAGGTGGCTTGGGGCAGGGGAGGATCTGGAGAAAGGATCTGGTTTCCAATTGAAGGGTAACGTGGGTAATTTATTTGATTGAAGGAAGCTTTTCATAATTTTTGGCCTTATGCCTACCTCAACTTGAGAAATATTTGTCAAGATGACGTCATTAAGCTCTATTGAATTATGGCATTGATTATTTGGATTTTAATTCGATGATCAATTTACAAGTATTGTGTGCGGTTGCTGGCATGCACACAGATTCATGCAGAAACTTCTATGGAGTAACTCTGTTTGTGTTGAATATTGTTTCTTCTTGCATAAACCATGGACGTGCATTTGACATACTCCACACGTATCTATAGAGTATATACTCCATGCTTCCAACGCCAATTCCACAACCATGAAACTTCTATTATGTTTTTTGGCCCTCAATGTAGTTGAAACTTGTACAATTTATTTATTTATTTTTTTGGTACACTGAAGACCTATAGATGCAACAATAAAGAAGAGGGATAGGATCACCATAAATGGAGATGCTCCGGAAAGGAGAAGACTTAAGTTGAGATGGGATGCAATAGTGAAAAAATATATGAATTTATTTAATTTACGAACACATAGCCTTTGATGGAGTTGAATAGTGAAAAGAATTCATGCAGTTGACCCCACTTAATTGGGACACAAGGCTTAATTTGGTTTGGTTAGTTGTAGATATATATTTTTTAATGAAAATTATTATAATTTGGTCCATTTCAATAATTAAAAGAACACAACTGGTGTGTGGTTTGAGAAAATTGTTTATTATGAGAGCATTGAATTGTTTCTGAATTATGTCCCAGATTAGATGTTGATGGCACCAGCAAATGACTTTTAGGAAGTAAGACAATCATTTTTAGGCATCCTTATAGTCATTCAATTAGTCATGAGTTGGTGCGGATGGAGGCATGGGGTAGCATCTATGCTTATTTCAAGTTAAGAAAGTTGTTTAATTATGAGAGCAACAAGCTTGTTTTAAATGATGACTTTTGTTATTTGGATGTTGATAGCACTTAGGGTTGCAAATAAACCGAGCTGTTCATGAACAAGTTCGGCTCAGCTCGTTAAGGGCTCGGCTTGATTCATTTAGAAAACGAGCCGAGGCCGAGCTCGAGCTCAACTATTAGGTTCGTTTAGTAAACGAGCTGAGTTCGAGCTCGCGTAAGCTCGGCTCGTTTATTTTTATTTAAATTATATAATAAATATATTAAATAATATAAATAATATTTTTTATTTAAATAATATTTTTAAAAAATTTATCGAGCCAAGCTCGAGCCCAATTTCCTATCGAGCCGAGCTCGAGCTCAGCAAAGCTCAGCGCGGCTCGGTTCTTTTGCATCCCTAATAGCACTAGAAACTGGCTTTTAGGAAGCAAGACAGCTATTTAGCTGAGCTTATTGTGATTCAACGTGAGAAATTAACTTTTAGGGATTTGAGACAATGTTCATTAAAGTGGCTTACCATTAATATCAAATAACAATTAATTTCTTATGATAGTCATTGTATATCCTTGGGTTGACTCCACAAATGTCTAAACTTGTGGTTATGTAAACTGGAAGATCAGTGGTGGTGGTCTAGTTATTAAATGCATTTATTGTACACCTAATCATGCAGCAATTTACAACTGTTTGATTGTGTACTTTACAACTAGGACGATAAATGTTTGATTGTGTACTTTACAACCAGGACGATAAAATGTTTTTATTATGCTTATTTATTTGTTATGTTCCTTGTTTTTGAGGGGCTTCTTCTCAATATCCTTTGGCACCCATGATAGAGATAGGAGGTAGTTGGCTAAAATGTATTTATTGATTGCTTAAAACAGGTTCACAACTGAGAGCTTTTATCTCTATACATCTTGAGATGGAACCTGCTGTAATTTTTTTTGTATTTTTTTTAAATTTTATTACATGATATGCATACTCTCTCAAACCATAATATTCGGCTTGATGAGTGAATGACCTTAACTCCACCTTCTATATTTATCATTCAAGTAGTTGAGTGACCTTAAATGCACCTTCTTTTAATAATCGTTTTGATTTTGTTATTACCGGACAGATGGGTTTGATGGCTTCTAAGCCAAAGCATCTGCAGACACAGTGGTAAAGAAATTAGGGGTCTATGTCTTTTAAGTGGAGAATTGCCTAAGTTTGTCTATAGTAATCATTATGTTTAGTATGCCGAGTTTCTGAATAACCAGATAATTATACACATGAACAGCAGGCATAAATCACGTCATAGAACCTTTTGGGAACTTAAGGAGATCTCAAACTTGTCTTAACAAACCTCTATCCTAATTAATTTATGAGGTTGGCAACTTGGATCTATTTCCTCCGATTGGTTTTATTGGAAGGATTAATGCTTCCTACCCCCACTGGGGGTCGACCCCCAGTGAGGTGTCGGCCCCGGATTGGTCCAAAAAAAAAAACTGTTTTTTTTTTTTTTTTTTAAAGTTTTCAGCCAGTGGGGGCGCGCCACGTCACTGGGGGTATGCAGCGCGGTTGTATTGGAAGCCATCTCCTCAGTTAAGGCAGGAACAGTGAGGAAGTACTTTAATATACTATTACGTTGTGTTTGGTTAGGGGAATTGGAGAGAGATTTAGAAAGGAAAAGGGAAAAGGTGTGTGAAACTAGGTGAAATATAAGTATGTTTTATTCACATTTCACTTATTTTTTCTATTTCCGTTTCCAAGTCCCTTATCAAATCTCTCAACCAAATACAGCATTAGTGTTTGCTTTCAAATAAGGCCGAGTTATTTCCTTTGAAAATTATTCTTAGAGGACTTTCTTTATTTTTTTATTTTTTTATTTTATTTTAATATCATGGAGTGTCTGTAAATGCTGATGAGGTTTGAGGCTTCAAGCAAGTTAGGCTTTAGTTTTGAGGATTTAACTTTTGGATGATTGCATGACATATTAAAGTACACTTTTAAGGCTGGCCTCTTGTCTAGTCATCTTTGGCAAAGCCCCCACAGACTTAGCTAGAGATAAGAACTTATGAATGCACCACTTTATCTGCAGTTCGTTGATTTTTTTCTTTTTTTATTTTATACAATTTTTTAATACACATTTTTTTATAAAATGTTAAAAAGTTAACTTATCGTACAGGGTAAAGTTTTGATATTTTATATCGTGGAGTCAGCTCTGCTTTCTGAGATACGTGCACACTGCAGCTTGGTCAGATTAAGTTATGTAATCTTAGGTCAATATGTTTACCTACGCTTCAGAGAACGCTGTACATTAGCGATTATAAAAATTTGCTTTCGTTTTGGATTCATTGATGGGCAAATTATTTTTACCATGTCATGTTGATTCTAACATATGATTTCTGAATGAAATGATTCCAAAACTTTTATGTTAATGATTTCAGATCCATCATCTGTATTTAATCATGAGATTATCTTCCAAGACTCAC